GCATTGCTCTGAGGCTTGCATGATCTCATATAATGAGCTTGGCCTATATACAGGAGTACAGATATTTATAACCCTGGAATGAGGCTGCTTCTTTGTGCCTTGAAATTACAGAAAGAATTTACATTACCTAAGAAAGACAGAAATGTCACGAGACTTATCCTAGATTTTATCCAAGAGGCAGGGAAGAATTGGCTCAAACCAAGTGGATTTGAAAAGATCATAAGAGATAAAAATAAAATTGCTTCATGATTATACCTTTGTTTCTTCTGGGTTCAACTTACTAAGTTAATACATATCATACATACACAAATGTACACATACATACATATCCATATATACATACATACAGGTACCGGGGTCTGACAGAAGTAATGCCTGCTCAAGTGTGGTTGGTAGGGTAATACTATGGGTGTAATAATTCATAGTTTAAATTTGAACATTTCACCTAAATTTTGACTGGTGTGCTTGAGTGTGATATTGTTGTTATAAAATTACATGCTTATGATTTTGGAATAAAGATTTTGTAATAGAAAAGGGGCATTATTTGTGCCAACCCTGTACTGCCAGTGTGCGTGTATGTGTATACGACATGTACAAGGGGGGACCAAAACACCAGAATTTATTTATAAAAAATTGTGTCTTTATTCTCACATGTTTAAATGTCAGCCACCTTCAAAGTACTCTCCATCTGATGCAAATATCTGCTGAGACATTTCTTCCCCTGTTCAAAAGAGTTTTTGAACTGGTCAAATTTGATGCCTTTTAGTGCTTCTGACACTTTCTGTTTCATGCCTTCCACATTGGCAAAGGGTTTTCCTTTTGCCAGGGAAAACTTTTTCATCAGGAAAATAACACAAAAAGTTGCTCAGGTGAGATCCAGTGAATAGGGAGGGTGGGGCATGGGGGATCATGCCATTTTTGGTCAAACACTGCTGACCCACCGCCTGGTGTGGGCAAGGGGGCTTATAAATCACCCATCATGAAATGGGCAAAAGCTTTGAAAGAGTTTTCAAAAAACTTCAGTGAAGCCTCTCACAGCCTCTCACAACAATGGCAGCTGGTACACTAATACAGGTGGGTTCCTAGAACACTCACCTAGCAGGGGAAGACTGTACTACAAGGGGCCCACTCTCCAGAAGATAATTCCATTTTTTGGGTGGTCCCCCCTCATATATATGTTTATATGTGGTACATATATAGAAGAACAAGGTTGTAACATAAATATCATAGTAGCTATAATTTATTGATTGTGTATTATTTTCCAGGTACTGTATCAAGAACTTCACAGATTATTTATTTTTCACAGCTATCTTAGACAGAATTCATTGTCCTCAGTTAATTGAGTAAGCTATTAAGTAGCTTGCCCAAGAGCTCACATGTATTAACACCTTAGCCTGAACTTGGGTCTGCCTGGCTCTGAGGTCCAAGCTTTTAACCACTGATTAATTTTGCCATTAATTATAGTCAGCATGGCCTTTGACAACAGCAGCTGATTATATTGTTTAGATTGTCCCAATGGGCACTGGGCAATTAAAAAGAAGTAAGAAGACTGCTCATAAGATGTAGTATAAATCAGCATGTTCCTTGTAAGGAATGTCATGATTAGAGAAGCAATAGCTTGAGGCATTAACAGAAAGAACAGAGTTAACAGAAAACAACTTATTTTTCTCAATTGAAAATGCAGAGTTGCTTCCACCTGCAGGACAAAGGGACAATTGCAGCATTTTTAGTCGTACAATTAACCTCCTTTCACAGACCAACATCCAGGGAGCCAGGCTGATGGCGTCACTCACCTCATCACCAGGTGGCTCTAAAGTTCCAACCAGGAGTAGCGCAGATCTTGGCTGAGTGGGAACGCAGTTCACTGGAATGGACCGTATGCCTCAGGGATTGTGCTGGACAAAGAGCTCTGTGACTGCAAAGATGATCAAGCCACTTCTGCCAACCTAGTTTTTATCCTGGGGGACCCACAATGGTTCAGAGAGAGCAAGTCCAGCATTACTTCCTCTTCTGTAAAATGTGGGCCTGTGAGAACTAAATTAAATTGAATATATTTGCTAAGAGCCTACTATGTGTCTGGCAGAATTTTAAGCACCTTTTTTGTTTTGTAAAAAAAAACAACAAAAAAACAAAAACAAAAACAAAAAAACAAAGCTGTCTATCTTCAAGGAGCTTAGATGAGATAAAGTGTTTGACAATGCTTTGTAAATACTACTGAGCCAATGGGACAGTGATCATTGTACTTTGTGTTTATCCTATATTGGGAAACCCTGCATATTCCTACCTAATGCGTCTGTGCACAATTACTGGGAGTGGTACTCTAACACGTGGCTGTAATCAGAATTACCTGAATGCGGCTCTTCACTTTAGACCATGAGCCTGGCTCTGGTCCCCTCACTGCAGTTTCTCAAGAACAGGGGCCAAATCTTCCACCTTTTATTTACTCTATGTCCCTTGGACCTAGGATAGTACTGGAGTCAGTGTAGGCTCTAAATGCAGTGAAACTAAACTAGGCTTGAATTGACAAAGCCAAATACTGGAAGCTAAGAGCATAGACAGAAAGTGTAAGTGATGTGCCTGTGTAGACTGGTGAATGATTTATTCTGCATCTGCATGCTCCATCCTCACAGCTCCCTGCACATTTATCTCATCTTAGAAGTGCTCTCACGTCCCATCCATGAAGTCCTTCCTGCGCTGTTAGTCTGCATGGCTCTCCTTTCTTGGATATCCTTTCATATTACGCCCTCACTCACAAAAACTAACATTTAAACATGATTTTCTTACACTTTTCTCTAAAAGTAGTAAACATACAACACCTAGTACAATGTTGGGAATGAAATAAATCATTTATAGTCTATATCTTTCTTGTGCAAGAATCTTTGATTTTCAGAGATCAATGTGTATTTGTGTATGTTTGCATGTAGAATGTGTGCATGCACTCAGTGTCTTTCCTTTCCTTAATCTTTTCCCTTCAGTTCTGATATTTGGACTTGAGATGTGCTTTTGGTACTAGATAGGGAAGAGTTTTTACCACAAATGTAATTCTTATATCCCCCTTCACACAGCTTTGTCTCTAATCTGTAGGACTCTGTGTATGACTCTGAACAGTAGTATGCTGGCTTTAATGCAGATTTTTCTTTCCTTCTTTTTCGTTTCTCAAAGCATGACCATCTATTTCAGAATCAGAATTTTATATAAGACATATATACATCTGAATACCTGTCCTCCACTCCTAATTTCCTGAGTCCAAATCTCTGAGGGTTGAGCTTCCAGGTACAGTATAGCAAATGGCTTTGGAGATTCCAGTGTTCACTCAAGTTTAAGATCCATTGCCCTTGGGCACACTGTTAACAGGAAAAGTACATTGTGGAAGGTCTCTTGGTGGAAAGCTAGCAGCTAAGTCCAGGGCTTTTCCTGCAAAGGGCATGTGCTTTTAGAATTAGTTTCCTCTCCCAGATCAATAGAGCATGAGCATTTTAGATTTCAGGGCACAGGACAAGATTCGCTTATGAGTCACCAACGCAGTATGTGTGCATTGCAGCTGACTTACCCCAGAGATGGTTGCATTATCTGAATGAGCACTTTTAAAGATAAGTATTATTTTCACAATTGTTGAGTCAAATAAAAAAATAAGCAAAACTGAAAGCATCTGTAATTTACCTCACAAACTAATAATGACAACTACTGTTACTGTGAACATCTTTATTTATGGCAATAATTAGGTTGATATTCTAAACATGGTTTTACACCCAGCTTTTAGATTTAATTTTACATTTAAATTTACCTTTTACATATTTTAACACAAGTGAATTAAAATGAGAAAATAATGTTTTAGTCACAAAATGTATTATTTTAATATAATCTTGAAGGATGGTGTATCAATACTGATTTTAGCCTTTTACTCTAAACACTATGACCAAATCATTATTAAATAGAAAAAAGTTATTTCTTCATGCAGTTACTAAAGTAACTTAGTGGCTAATTCTTTTCAGAGTAATGATCTATTATATTTCTAGTCATTTTCCATTTATCTTTCTTTCTCATTCTCTCTTTTCCCCACCTTTCTCATTCTCTCTTGCATTGAGAACCATGTAAAATATTTTTTATTATCACTGAAATTTGTATTTTACTATGGAGAAGTATATTTGAAGATGATAAAATAAGGGTGTGGATATTCTTTTAATTATTATTAAAAGACTACTGGTTGTGGAATATTTATACCCAAGAAGGTGACCCATTCAGGTGCAGGTAAAACTACAGTTACCTCTGATATATATAGAAACTTACAATTTTCTAACATAAATAGATGGGTGTTTTTTTCAGGCAAATTTTCAAACATTGGGTAAAAAGTAATCATATCAGAAATTAGGAATTCTTGGTTATGTTAATATTTGTCATTTAGGTATTTTTTGTCAGACACTAAATGATTTACAGTCACAATGTCATTTAATTTTCGTAAACATCTTATGAAGAAAGTATGCGACCCAAGTGCCCTCAGCCTATAAGCTGCAGCTCAGGGGTTTCTACCCAGAGCTGTGTGGATAAAAATGTGCTCTCTTTCCAGCTCTGTGATGCTGAAAGTTTAGGAGCCAAGGCTCTACCAGGGGCCCAGGTGCTGGGAACCCTTCACGGGGCTGTTCTGCCCAACACTTTGGAATGCAAACTCCCTTGAGCAAGCACTTGTTTGGCATAGTTTCACCAGTGGCCTGTCTGTCTAAGGTAGTCAGAGAATATTAAAATAGTCCTAATAATAAAATAGCACTCAGTCAACCGTGTAGCCTCCTTAGGGAGGGGGAGAAGAATAGCTCACTTTCCCTGGAGGGCTTGAGAAAGATCAGTTTACAGGCGTCAGCACAGGATACGACCCTTCTTCTTCCTCTCCATCTTGGGGCTGGCATGTGCCTTGGCAACCATCATCTCACATTAGCTGATGGCCTGGGCAGAAAATATAACCAGGGTTTCTTTTCTCCTCCATACAAAATATACACAGTCCTTTCACTGACCTGGCTTCTGATTGGAGGCTGGTTGTTTTGGATAATGACCTCCAGGACCCCTCTGGGGGTTACAGTCTGTTTGTATAACTCTTACTGCAAGTCAAGACACCAGCACTGGGGTGTGAGGAAAAGGAAAAGACCAGTAGTTTTACACCTCCAGGTACCAGAAACGCAGGAGATTGACAGCGTTCCAGCTACCTGAGTAGGCCAAGGACCGGCAGCTCCCCATGCAGCCCCTCCAGACAGCTGCTGGCTAAGATGAGGGATCTTCTTCAGTATGTTGCCTGCTTCCTCGCCTTTTTCTCTACTGGGTTCTTGGTTGTAGCCACCTGGACAGACTGTTGGATGGTGAATGCCGATGATTCCCTGGAGGTAAGAAGTCAGCAACTTCTTTTTCTCACCCAAGCCCTTCCAAATTTTCTCAAAGCTCCACTGCCTCCCTGTGTCCACTGGGATTAATGATAATAATAGCCAACATGGACTGACCCATTCTTTATTTACTACTTACTGAATCTTCACTATGAGCTCATTAATCCTTACAGATAATCTATGAGATAGATGTTATTATTCCATTTTACAGAGGAGGTAACTGAATAATCCCTCTTTTTTCATAAGGATAAATTCGCACAAGGTCAATGATATAACCCTTGTCACTGAGCCCTCCAGAAATTTACCTCTTCCATTCTGCATGCACCAATTTAAATAACATTCCAGTACATCCTTTCTTAAATGTAAATTTGCTAATCTTGATGATGGCATTAAGAGTAGTATGATAGACTTAAAGAATGGCAATCTCAGAAACTGAATTGAGTAATCACACTCAAGGTATATAAGATCTACTCAATTAGTATGCTATAGAAATGTTATTTTAAGCAGTTCCCAAGTAGAAGAAAACATTCTGAGGGAAAATACAACATCTAGAGTGTTCCAAGTACAGGGGACAGATGTGGATTTAAGAAACCATCTCTTAAAAATGAATTGATCTTGGGAACCAAATGTTAAGTGAGAATGAGTGAGTGGTTGACATTTGAAGATTTTATTTTTCTCACTGGAGAAGCACAGAAAGAATAATTTTGGAGTTAAAAGGGTTTTCTGTGGCTATTAGAATCTGAGAGACATAGAACTGAGTAAACATTAAGGTCAGCTACTCTTCATTAGGAAGATTTCAGAAAGTATAGGTAAGAAAAAGAAACAATATATTAGGAACTCCAATAAAGAATATATAGCACCCCATATGCTCTCTTATGTACATTCTGAAAGGAAAAAATGTTCTAACAAACATTATAATGTAACCTCTGTGAAGTTTAGGAAAGATACCTAAGAGCAAGTGTATATATTTTTCTCCTAATTTTATTTATTCAACTCTCAAATTGCAATTAAAAATGGAAAGTAATAATCTTTCTATTTTGCTGTGTATTTTTCCTGCCATTTTTCCTTGCTTTTAATCTTCCTCTGACTTCTACATGACATTTCAAGACCAATGGAGTTATAAATACTTCTTTAGTGCTAAAGATTATATTTTTGAAAATCGTGCTAGAATTAACTACTATAAATGATGTTTTCTTTGTATAAGTCCAGTGGTGCATTTTATCTGTTCATGCATATAAGCGGTGAATGCAAACAATGCCCGTTGAACAATGCTCAGGAAAAAATACAGATAATAACAGTGCTGCCGTCGGCTTGCCAGAACCTGGACTGTCAGCATTAGGTGAATAATAGAAATATATTGGGCTTGAGCAGACTTACTAGGATCTTTGAAAATCTATAAAATTTTATTTAAAAGCATTGTTAAAATATTTTCTAAAACAATTTGAAAATCTTTCTGCTTAAGCTAATGAAACTCTTAACTTCACTTGATAAGAAACGGAAGTTTAGAAAGGGTCAATCCTTACTTAGAGAAACTGGGAGTCCCAGACTTTAAAATGCCTTCTTCTCATTTTACTACACCCAGCCACTTTGCCATCTGCTCTGGGCAAGAACACTTCTAGGTAAAATGAATGGAATGAGCAGTCTAGGTTATTCACCTCGAGTAAATCCTTGCTAACCTTGGGCAAGCATTAGTGAGTATTTCTTAGCTTCTTCCTTATTCCCCATGCTTGAAATATATTGCTATATATATTCTCCAAGAAGTCTCCACATTAAAAGATGAAATCTGTAACAAATGAGGCCCCTTCTCTTTCAATAATCTCTCTATTTAGCAATATTTTTAAAAGGACATGAATCTTAATAATTGCTCCTTCAATGGGCAAGAATATGAAATCATACTATGATCCATTAATTTGAAGGTTAGGACACTCTCTGACTCAATTATACTGCTCTTCTTGCTTCCTTCCTCACATATATATTACCCTTGCCCTATATTAACAGCTCACCTTAAGTGACTGTTGAACAAAAAGATGGGACAACAAAAAGCTTTTCTTTCTTTTTTTTTTTTTGTAAAGCCTACCCATGGAATGCTTTTAAAATAAGGAGTAATTCAGAACATTTCTAGCTTTAAATTTCTAGCTCTGTTAATCTTTTAGGATGCTACAGGTTTCAGAGTTGGAAAATGAATTCTATAGCTCAATTCAACATAAAAAACACATGAAATGTATGTCATATAAAAGGTACTATGCTAGTTTCCACTAGGTGAGATAAAGATAAAGAAAAAATGAGTCCATCCTGACAGGAGTATATATTTAGTGAGAAAAAATATATACCCATGAAATTATAACAAAAACATAGGCCAATTCATATTTGAAAAAGAAATGAGCAGCCCTGGCTGGGTGGCTAAGTGGGTTGGGCGTCATGCCATGGACCGAAGGCTCACCAGTCCAATTCGTGGTCAGGGCACATGACAGAAAGAAATGTACAAAGTACCATTAGAGAAGAGAAGATGGATTATTCCATGTCAGAGACACTAAAGCAGGGTTTGGGGAGGAAAAGGCATTTAAACAAAGCTTCCAAAAGATACAAAGGATTTAAAAAGTTGAAAATGGCAGCAGGGGCCTTCCACACAAGAAGATACATGACAAAGTGAAGCGTGAGTAAAAACTCTGGGCTTCTTAGAGGATTAAGATAAGTAATGGAGAGCACAGAGCAGAAAGATCCTCAAAATACCACAAAATGTTATTTTGCCTTACTTACACTTGCCTTGAAAAGTGAAGTTCTTTGCTTTAAGTAAAACATTGGGAAAAAGAAAAAGCAGTGTGCACAGCCCCAAGTCAGGGACCAAGTACCCTAAGCCAACATACTGTTTCTGTCATTGTTGATTCATCTGTGTCCCTGGGCAGACAGATATGGTGAAGAGAGCTTGGGTTTTGAGATGATTCCAACCTGTGTTTATATCTTATTTGTCTTCTGCTGATTAAGCAAGTCATGTCTCCTGTCTTTGGCTCAGTTTTAAGATGAAGTTGAACTCAGTTGTTTTAAGATCATATTTAGTCTTGACTTTCTTTAACATCAGGACCCCTTGACTATGTCTGCAATCCTGGAGAACCTCCCCAGAAATTCCCACTAGGAATCTAGATGAATATTCTCCATTTTTCTGTGACTTTATAGGCTCTTCCTCCCTTTCTCCAACCCACTATCCCTCATTTTTTTCTTTCTCTCTTTCTTCCTCCTTCTTTTCTTCTTTCCTTTCTTCTTTCTTTCTTTTGATTCTTCCTTCCCCTTTCATTCCCCTCTTCCCTTTCCTCCTATTTTATCCCTTATGCTCTTCCTTTTTCTCCCCCCTTTCTCCTTCATTGCTTCATTCTTCCCTTCTCTCTCCACTTTTTCCCCATCTTTTTTCATTTCACAAATACTCTTTGACATGTGCTATCTACCTTGTAGTGTGGGAGGTACAAGATTATGAAGGATGAGACCTGGATCTTCCTTAGGTTGCTCCTAGCATATTGTGTAAGATAGACAGTAAAGTTATGGTTACAGTATGATATCACAAATAACTCTGAGTGGCCAGCTCACTCAATTGTGCATAACTGGTAAAATCTACCTAAAAGAAGAAATACCTGAACTATGAACTGGAAGGATAGGTAAGCAAAGAGGGAAAAAAAAAGTATAGAGTGCCAAAGCACAGGGGATGCTATGGGCTGAGATCCAGGTATGGGAGCACTGTACTTCTGTGGCTTTGTATATAATTCAGCATGATAAGTGTTTTCATGTAGGGAAGAGAATATAAGGTCTGGTTCTCAACAGATTTGTGTGTCATGTTAACTATACATAGTGTGCCATAGACAAGCATCTTTCACTGTAAGTAAACATATATATGTAATTTAGAAAGATCAACCTTTCTGGCTGCTTGTGGAGAATGTTGGGATGGAGTAAAATGAAGTATCAGGAGACCAATTAAGAAAATTTTGCCATGAAAGAGTAGGGAAACTATGGTGGTCTGAGCTAGGATGACAGCATTAGGAGACAAGTGAAGATATGGGAAACTCTAAAGAATTCTAATTGGTATGATTGGTAATTGACTGCATGTAGAGGAAAAGAGGCTGAGGAAGAGGGAGAAGTCAGGTTGAAATTCTTTACTGTTTTGAGGCAATTGGAGGACTGGTAGAGTCACTTAGAGCTTAAATAGAGGAAAATTAGGCTCTATACAGAAGTCATCAAGCAGCAGTATCACTGAACCATCTCACTATTTTATCTTGCTTAGGTGCTTACACAGCACCTCAAGGTGGGCAGTAATGTAAAACTTTACAGTGGGGAGACTTACAGGTTGGACTTGAAGTTAGAGGGACCTGAGGTTAAATTCCACCTTGCCAGGTAGTAGCTGTATAATTTTTGATGGGTGTCTAAGCCACTATAAACCACATTTTCTCTTCTGTACAGGGAGACTAAAATATGAACATTGAAGTGTCATGAGGATTAAATGAGCTTGTGTACCTGAAGCATGTACCACAGTACCAGGCAAATACAAATCAGTCAATAAATGTTAGATATATTACTGTATATTTGCAGTTTATTGTTTTGTTTTTGTTCTGGAGGAGGAGATGACATTTTGTATAATGTTCACTTAAGGGAGAGGTATGAAATTTAAGTTCTATTTCCGTTTTCGCTATTGATTCTCTTGGAGAAATTTTGTTTACTTCTCTGGGCTGTGATTTGCTCACTTTTATATTTATTGCTGTTTTCTTTTCATCTAACCAGGGGAAAATGCAGACAACAGAGACAAAATAGCATAAATTACCTATTAAATACATTTTTAAAAGGAAAGAAGTTATAAATAAATAACATTATTAGTATGTTACTTATACATTAAGACATATAATTATTCATATCTACACTGAAATAGAAAAGTCATTTCTTCACAAGATTAATGGTCTCTCAATAATCAGAAGGAAAAAATGTTTTCACATGATTATTCCATTTTCAGTTAATCTCATGTTAATTAT